TTTGGTTTTTCCATTATGCATAGATGCTTCACTTTTTTTTTTTTTTTCTTTTTCAGATGGAGTTTTCACTCTTGTTGCCCAGGCTGGAGTGCAGTGGTGTGATCTTGGCTCACTGCAACCTCTGCCAGTCTCTGGTTTGTGTTACTCGCCCGCAGTGTGGTGTGTAGATAGGAAAGAGCACGGCCTCACCTGGCCCCGAGACAAACCCGGGCACTGTCCTCTGCCAGCAGCCTGGGTGCCCGCAGGAGCACCTGCTAGTTGTCTGAAGCCTCAGCTAGTGTTTAGCTGAAACGGCTCCAGCACTGCAGGGCCCACCTGACAGTCCTGAAAATGATGGGGACACCGGACGACTATCTGCTTCGGACAGTGAACCATTCACACGGAGCTGGGGTCTTTCATTTAAGGCTGGGCAGCGGGGATGCAAAACACAGAAAATTATGCCAGTACGGTGGATCAATGACACCGGAAATGCACGAGCACCCAGAGGGGCTAAGAGAAGTGCTCCTGGACAGCAGCAGTGGCTCACACCTGTAATCACAGCACTCTGGGAGGCCGAGGTGTGTGGACCACCTGAGGTCAGGAGTTCAAGGCCAGCCTGGCCAACAATGGTGAAACCCCGCCTCTACTCTAAATAGAAAAATTAGCTGGGTGTGGTGGTGTGCGCCTGTAGTTCCAGCTACTTGGGAGGCTGAGGCAGAAGAATCACTTGAACCTGGGAGGTGGAGGTTGCAGTGTGCCAGGATCACACCACTGCACTCCAGCCTACAGGGGCTACGGACTAGTCTATCCTCTTCTGTGGCCTCAGGCACATGACTGAGCTCTAAGCCACGGCTTCTTCATGAATACACTGGGAATAATCAGTATTGGTGGGCGCACAGGGTTGTTTTAGAGCTTGTATGATGTAATAAACATGGAAATCATTCATACAAATATAAGTCCTGAAAACACTGGCTATACCTACGAATTGCAGAGGGCATTTTTCCTACCCAATTACCAGAAGGACTCTGCTTTCTTGAAGGCATGGAGGGACAGTATAGGCTAGGCCAAGATTTAATTCTGTAGCCTCCTGAGGGCAAAGCTGGGAACCATGTGAATTCTGTGCCCAAAGCACAAATCTGGAAAAGGAGGTATGAGGCAACCCATCACTTTCTAGAGTTCAGGAATCTCCCCATGGGGATGGCCGGCATGCCTGGGGGAGCTCTGGAGTTCAGGATTCCCCGTGTGGGGGGCGCAGGCCTGGGGGAGCTCTGGAGTTCAGGATTCCCCGTGTGGGGGGCGCAGGCCTGGGGGAACTCTGCACAGTGCAGGAAGCAGAGAATGGGGCGCACTGGGCTGTCGTTTTGGGTTTTGACACTGCCCAAAGTCTCTCCCCCAAGGAGGAAACAGAACTCTGTCAATCACTGATCACCGGTAACTGCACTTCCATCAAACAGATGATAACTTAAAAGAAATTCCACTGGCACTGTCATCCCCTATGACGTCTTCTTCCATGAAAAAGCCTTTCACATTCTTTGATTTCATAAAAGCAAACTTGCAGAGAACAAGCTTCTGTGGCACTTAAAAAGTCTTAACTACTAGCATTTTTTTAAGGTAGAAATCATTTTCTCCCCCACCTCAGGAAAACATAGATACATCACCACAAATGTATTCTCCAAAATCAGTTGTAAACTTATGTTTTACAAACTAGACAGCATTTTTTCACACATCCTGAGCTGTTACACGAAAACAGTTATGAGTCCTCAATTCCAGGCTCGAGAATTCCACTTCGGTTTATCTGGATCAAGGTCACCGTCAGGCCAGCTACCTGCCGAGATTCCAGACCGCACCCTTTCTGAGGGCCTCTCCTTCCTGGGTGTCATCAGCAAAAGAGGTTACGCCGGACGGCATTTTCCCTTGAAATTACACAACCTCATCCACTTGAAACGGAGGCTAGGCTGCTTACCCCACCTCTGTGAAGAGAGAAGACTGGCCAACTCGTGGGAGTGTGTGAGAGCAAAGGCCCCCTTGGTCCTCGGAGGCTGAGATGAAAGGCATCCGAGTGCTCTCCTGGCCCCAAGGGCCCTCCACCTGCGCTCAGGCCGCTCCTGAGAGCCTGGTGACCCCCGTCTGTGAGTTCCTGCTCGAGGGCTTCCTGGTAGGAAAAACCCTTACAGCTCTGAAAAGGCCCTGGAAACCAGCAATCAGCCCACAAAACCCATCCTGACAACCCATTCAGCGCAGGACTTCCTGGATCGGAAACTGAAGCGGCTTCACAGGGCTCCAGTTCCACCGGCAGCAGTGGAGAGGAAGGGCCCAGCCGAGTCGGGGAGAGGGTAGCGCAGGCCAGGGAGCAGGGTGGGCAGCACGAAGCCACCAGGGCCACTGTCTGCAGGGACGTCGAAGCGGACACTAGGAAAATGACAGAACTTGAATGATACAGCAGAGGAGTCAGGAGTGGCAGGCAGAAATTGCCGTGTTCTGTTATCTCCTCCAAAACCGCCCTCAGCTTCCTGCCAGCACCCCCCCCAGCCCCCGCCAGGTGGACCGGGACCCTCCTCTGGCACCTCAATCAAGCTCTGCCACTGCTGCTGGCTTCCTCCCTGTGGCCCCACACAGCACCCTCCACATCTGCAGGGAGAACCAGGCGTGTGTGGCTGTCGGGCAAGTCTGCCCTAAGAAGGGAGAAGCCAGCTCCTGGGGGGTGGGGGGGCGTGGGCTGGGTGATGCCTTCATGGCCCCCATCCGGCTCGGATGGGCAACACTGCACAGTGGGGGAGCCACGGCTCCAAGCGCCCATCACCTGTGTCCCGGAATCCTGCCTTACGATCCACAGGGGCACCACATGTTGACACTGGGTGCTTCCTGCTTCCCTGTGCCTTTGTGCTGCGAAAGCTGAGTTCAAAGGAGCACATCTAGGATTCGTGTGGGCCTCGAGGGTGGGTGAAGCGCATATGAGCTTGGAAACCATCTTCAGTGAGCTCTGCCTGAGACTGCGTTGACGTGATAACTTTACAGACATTACCACTGCAGAGACAGCGTTTTGGATGTGATTTCTCATCAGTACACTTCTTCCATGAATCATGACTGGGAAAACACCCACAACATTTATCTGATTGGACTTTGTTTTTGAGCATTTATATGTCCTGTTTCTACAGATTAAAGCTATTAAAATTTTTTGTAATCCACAGTTACAAATTAAATAATTCCATAAAAAGGCTTTGGAAAGGTGATCTTTTCTGTTGTAAAATATTCTTAAAAATGTGCAACTCTTTAAGAGCACATAAACAATAACCAAAGGAATCTATATGCCAGGATGCTTGAGTGTGAATTAAGTAGATTTAGCACAGGGGTCTACATGTCAGGATGCCTGGATGTGAATTAAGTAGGTTTTCACAGAGTCTACACATCAGGACACTCGATGTGAATTAGGTAGGTCTACACAGGGTCTACACGTCAGGACACCTGGTGTGAATTACGTAGATTTAGCACAGGGGTCTACACATCAGGATGCCTGGATGTGAATTAAGTAGGTTTTCACAGAGTCTACACATCAGGACACTCGATGTGAATTAAGTAGGTCTACACAGGGTCTACATGTCAGGACACCTGATGTGAATTAAGTAGATTTAGCACAGGAGTCTACACATCAGGATGCCTGGATGTGAATTTAGTAGGTTTTCACAGAGTCTACACATCAGGACACTTGATGTGAATTAAGTAGGTCTACACAGGGTCTACACGTCAGGACACCTAGTGTGAATTAAGTGTGTCTATCACAGGGGTCTACATGTCAGGATACCTGGTGTGAATTAAGTAGGTCTACATAGGGGTCTATACGTAAGGACACCTGGTGTGAATTAAATGTGTCTATTACAGGGGTCTACATGTCAGGATACCTGGTGTGAATTAAGTAGGTCTACACAGGGTCTATACATCAGGATACCTGGTATGGATTAAGTAGGTCTACACAGGGTCTACACGTCAGGACACCCAGTGTGAATTAAGTAGGTCTTCACAGGGTCTACAGGTCAGGACATTCAATGTGAATTAAGTAGGTCTTCACAGGGTCTACACATCAGGACACCCAATGTGAATTAAGTAGGTCCATCACAGGGGTCTATACATCAGGACACCTGGTGTGAATTAAGTAGGTCTACACAGGGTCTATAGGTCAGGATAAGTGTGTCTATCACAGGGGTCTACATGTCAGGATACCTGGTGTGAATTAAGCAGGTCTTCACAGGGTCTACACGTCAGGACACCCAGTGTGGATTAAGTAGGTCTATCACAGGGGTCTATACATCGGGCACTCAGTGTGAACTGAGCAGGTCTCCACAGGGGTTTACATGTCAAGACGCCCGGTGTGAATTAAGTGTATCTAGAATGTCAGGATGCATGTGTGAATTCTGTGGCTGCCTCACGTGTCCACGTGTGCAGCCGGCCATGAGTGTGCCTGTGTTTAGCCTCGTCCATTCTGAAGGAGAATGAAGCTAAAGGGAGGCGTCTGAACACAGGCTCATGCGTTCTGCACTATCTGGAAAGCACCGTCTGCCCCACTTTTAATGGCAGCCGCTAGATTTCCACCCTATTCTTAAAACCCGTTTCCTCGTCACTCTCTGAATGTGGGAAATGTGAGTGCACATCCACGCTCCTGTCCACGGAGAGAAACACGTTTCATTTCGACTGTGGCACTGCACTGTCACCTGCGCTTTGCCTTGGCTGCACGTCACGAACCAGCTCAAAGATCTGCCCCGGGCTTTGCTGCCCGGGGTGGCTGGTATCGTTTCCATCTTACCAGCTCCGAGACTCTGGCCAGGGTGGCCCACGACAAGCACGTGGCCAGGCACCTCAGAAGTGGGAGCTGGTTAGGGTTTGAATCCTGGACGTGAGACCTGCACTGCCTCTGTGACACGGTCACCCGAGAATAGAGACACCGTGATGTGAGGCCTGGCCAGGGGAAAGCCTCTTGTGGACGGTCACCGGGAGGGCAAGTCCCGCACCCTCGGTGAGGTTCTGATCTGAAACGCTTGCTGGGGGTGCTGGTGGCCGTGACAGCAAGGCCAGGAGCAGAGCTGGTTTCTGAAACCAAGAAGCACTAACACCCCCAGGCAGCTGCTCTAGAGACCCATAGACCCTCAGACCCAAGACAGTTACCTTGGAAGAGACGATCCTGTTGTCTGGGTACCTCTGTGGGATGTAGGCCTCTGCGCCCGGAGGTGGCTCCCTGTGCCCCACGTAGATGGTCCTGCTGTCCACCCAGTTCTCTTCTCCTGCACACTGGGAAAGGAGAACAATGTCAGGCAGCTGCCTCAGAACCCACATGCAAATACTTTTCCCCAGAGCAAACCTGCTGCTGAGTGCCTCGTTCAGGGCTGGGGGAGACACGGGTCCCAGAGCCCCGGCCCCCACCACCCTGTCGTATGCAGCCCTCAGGGGCCAAGGCCTTCAGGTGAGCACCAGGAGACGTGGTGCCCCCGTGACAGCCACAAAGTGAACACCAAAGCTGACTGCCAATGGAAACAGCACAGAGTGTGACATAAGAACAGAACACACCGCTAAATCAAAAGGCTTCCAAAAGGGAAGGGACAATGAAGTTGAGGCAGAAGGCGGGACTCAACTCCAGGGGTGGGGCTTGGACACCGGAGCAGATAGAGGACTAGTGAAAACAGGGTTGGGGTAGAGGCAGCTTTCCATACAACACGCCCCCGTGTGCCTGTCAGTTTACCATTGCCATGGTAACAGCCGGGAGCTGCACCCCCCTTTCCGTGGCAATGACCCAACTGCCTAGAAGTTACTATTCTTCCCCTAGAAATTTCTGCATAAACCACCCCTTAAGCTGCATGCAATTAGAAGCGGGTACACGCATGGCTGCAGCACTGCCCTGAGCGGCTCCTCCCCGCCTGTGGGGCACCCTGCTCTGCAGGAGCAGTCACAGAGCTGCGACATGGCCTCTTCAATAACGCTGCCTTCTTCCACCTCCTGCTTGCCCTTGAACGGCACTAACTGCCATCCCAGACTCAAAGCCAGGTGCACAGTGTCACCTCACTGCCCTGGCCATTCAACAGCGTGGCTGCCCCTCCCCACACAGAGAGGCCCTCCTCCTCTGGGACGGGGCCTCCCTGCCGCCTCTGTTTTGTGGTGAGGCCAACAAACCTAAGGGATGTGGACTTTAAAAGCGTCCTAAGAGCTTCAGAATAAGCTGCTGCCTATGAAGGCTCCTTTCTTCTTTCAGAACACAGCCAAACAGATGCTTCTCATTCTCATGCAACCAGGATATTGCACCGAATAAGCATATAAGTGAACCAGAAAAAGAAAACCATATAGATATCTTTTAATACAAAAGTAAAAATCCTAGAAACTTTCTTCTAAGCTTCAAAGACAACATCTCAATTTTGGGAGTGGCCAGGAGCCCAGACACTGGCTCTGAAAGCTGAATGTTTCCCTGGAGCTGTGCGGCTGTGCCCACACCACAGTGAGCCCACGCCACGGTGAGCCCACGCCACGGCAAGCCCATGCTTCCAGGCCACTTCCAGCCAGCCACAAAGGGACCCTGTCTCAGGGAGGCACAATCGGGATGAACTGAGGAAGTCCGGTCCATACTCTCCACACTGCCGCGCAGACACTTATTAAATAATCACATTGAACGCGGCTCACATACAGGGCTATGGTGTAGTGCCATTTACACGGACACAAGTGGGAAGGACTATTTTTGTCTGTGCTATGACATCAGAAAATAAATCGCCTGCCTACACGCGGCGGGACTTCCTAAACCCTCCACAGCAGCAAAACCCGCTTGAGATGAAGTGCATATACGTTCGAGGACAGCCACATCCCGTGGGAGATGTCACCTCGCAGGTGTCCCCTGGGCGATGGGGACAGGAGAGTCCCTTGAGGCTGCTTTCTGGCTCCTGGCTTTACCCACAGGCCACGACCCAGGGGCCCAAAAACACCGATGCCAGGAAGCTCCGTCACCGCCGGCCCCCTTGCCTGCCAGCCTCGTCAGCACGGCAGACACCAGTCTGGATAAGGAAAGGACTCGAGGCCACAAGGTCACTCAGACGGCCTCACCCGGGGCATCAGGAAGGTCAGAAGCCGAAGTGTCTCTTCAGGTTCGCACTTCAAAGGGAGCTCTTTGTGTTGTATTCTCCACAAAGGTCCAAATTCTAAGACTAAACTGCCCAAAAGCAACACAGACGACAACACACAGGACCCCCAGAGGGCGCAGACACAGTCACAAACTTGCCAGCGCCTGGGACAGGGCACCCGGGCGCTGCCGCTCACTGGCTGCATCACGCCATGTTTCTCTGCCAAATGTCATCAGCAGCCACACGAAAGGATTAGGAGAGCTAACCTTCAAGGTCCTCTCAGCCCCAAGACTCTGGTTCTCTGTAGTGACAACGAAAACAAACTCAGGAGCCCAATCGTGTAACTCCTGAACCTCGCCTGTCTTGAACCCAAGGCCACTTGCGCTGTGCATAAACGGGGGCACAGACAAAACGGGGTCTTGGCCGGGCACGGTGGCTCACACCTGTAATCCCAGCACTTGGGAGGCCACAGCAGATTGATCATTTGAGGCCAGGAGTTCAAGACCAGCATAGCCAACATGGAGAAACCCCATATCTACTAAAAAAAAAAAAAATACAAAATTTAGCTGAGTGTGGGGGCACCTGTAGTCCCAGCTACTTGGGAAGCTGAGGGAGGAGGGCTGCTTGAACCCGGGAGGCGGGGCTGCAGGGACAAGATGGCGCCGCTGCACTCCAGCTTGGATGACAGAGCCAGACTCTATCAAAACAAAACAAAACAAAAAACGGGTCACGCCACATGGAGTTGTTTTCAGGATTCAGAGTAAAGACATGAGCAGGCAGGAAGCTCTCCAGGGCAGGGGGATGGGGATCCCAGCCTGCTTCTCCTCGTTCCCAGGCAGGACCTGTGACACCGCTCAGCCAGCCCCACGCAACTCCTCCCAGCGGTCCCAGCCACGGCCAGAGGCTTCCATCAGCAGAGCAAAGCTGAAACCAGGCACCAGACTGTCTCTGTCAATTAGCAGGTTTCCTAACGACTCAGTAGCAACCCAGCTGTCCTAACTGCACCGAGAAAGCCACGTGGCATGTCCCCTGGTCGGCACAAGCTCCGACTGAAGTAAAAATCTATGCTGTGCTGATGGGACGGACCCGAAGACTCAAACTGACCAAGGGAACCATCGCGAGTGACGCCTGGAGGGCAGGAAAAATTCGGCATAAGGTTCACAGCTGCACTGTTCACAAAAGACAAAAGTGGCCGCCTCCAGACACAGGTCCACTGACAAAGGGATAGACAAAAGGAGGCGTGATAATCAGCCACGGGAAGGAAGGAAGCGCCGACACCCAGGCCAGTGCGCATGGGGCCAGGAAGCATATCCCACGTGTGAAGCAAAGCCACCACTCCTACAACCAAACCTTAAGCACAATCCGTATTTTCTTTTTTTATTTTGTTTTTTTAATATTTATTTTTTTTTATTGCATTTTAGGTTTTGGGGTACATGTGAAGAACATGCAAGATTGTTGCATAGATACACACGTGGCAGTGTGATTTGCTGCCTTCCTCCCCATCACCTACATCTGGCATCTCTCCCCTTGCTATCTCTCCCCAGCCCCCCACACCCACCGTCCCTCCCCTATTTCCCCCCAACAGACCCCAGTGTGTAGTGCTCCCCTCCCTTTGTCCATGTGTTCTTTTTGTTCAACACCCGCCTATGAGTGAGAACATGTGGTGTTTGATCTTCTGCTCTTCTGTCAGTTTGCTGAGAATGATGGTTTCCAGGTTCATCCATGTCCCTACAAAGGACATGAACTCATCGTTTTTGATGGTCGCATAATATTCCATGGTGTATATGTGCCACATTTTCCCTGTCCAGTCTATCATCGATGGGCATTTGGGTTGGTTCCAGGTCTTTGCTATTGTAAACTGTGCTGCAATGAACATTCGTGTGCACGTGTCCTTACAGTAGAACGATTTATAATCCTTTGGATATATACCCAGTAATAGGATTGCTGGGTCAAATGGAATTTCTATTTCTAGGTCCCTGAGGAATCGCCACACTGTCTTCCACAATGGTTGAACTAATTTACGCTCCCACCAACAGTGTAAAAGTGTTCCTATTTCTCCACATCCTCTCCAGCATCTGTTGTCTCCAGATTTTTTAATGATCGCCATTCTAAGTGGCATGAGATGGTATCTCAATGTGGTTTTGATTTGCATTTCTCTGATGACCAGTGATACAATCGTGTTTTCTGAGGCAGATACCATGAAGAGACATCCCACTACTAACATTATTTACTAACACAAGTCCTGCGAACTGGAAAACTTAACAGCCTACAATTACACCATACACCAATGGGTAGTACTGCCCGTGGTTAGTCCCCACATGCCTTAAACCACGTCCTTCAGAAAACATACTTATACTAATACAGTAAGTTAAATTTAAAACCTATATAAGCCTGCCACTATATACTTATTTAAGCATTTATCAAGTTAATATAGCTTAATATTTAAAGCAAGATACTGAAAATGTCTAGACGGGTCATCGTCACCCCATAAACACATAGGTTTGCTCCTAGCCTTTCTATTAGCTCTCAGTGAGACTACACATGCAAGCAGCCACAGCCCTGTGAAAATGCCCTCTAGATTGTCAGAACATGAGGAGCGAGTCATCAAGCACGCACACATGCAGCTCAAAACACTTTGCTTAGCCACGCCCCCACGGGAAACAGCAGTGACAAACTTTTAGCAATGAACGAAAGTTTAACTAAGTCACACTGACCATTAGAGTTGGTCAATATCGTGCCCGCCACTGCGGCCATACGACTGACTCAAGTTAATAGAGCTCGGTGTAAAGAGTGTTTAAGATTTTATTCCCAATAAAGCTAACGTATAACTAAGTCGTAGAAAACCCCAGTTATGATAAAATACTTTACAAAAGTGGCTTTAGTATCCTGAACACACAATAGCCCGGTGGGCCGTGAGTCCACTCTGATGAGACGCCCAGAAAACACAAACGCAGGGACGGGGCCGCCGCGCACGGGGCGGGCGGCTGCTGACGGCTCCTGCCTGGGGATAAAATGCTCTGGGTTGGAGCGGGCTGGTGGTTGCACCACTCTAAACATTTTCCAGCTGGAACCAACAAATTGCATGTTTTAAAAGGGAGCATTTTACGGCATGTGAATTATACCTCAGTAAAAATGTGATAAATATTTTTGCCAAATGAAAGGAATGCATGGTTTGAGATCATTATTGAGTTCTCAGATGCACACATGAGATCGTTATTCCACACTTTCTCATTCTAGAAAGTTAACAGGAACGCTGGCATCAAATGGTATCGCTCATCCGCACAACTATCACCATCAAACTTGCTCGGATTTTCAGCTTGTCGTTGGTTTAATGGTTCAATGACTCAAGTGATTTTCTTTACTACCTTAGAGGAAAAAGTCACTCTTTTTTTTTTTCTTTTTAATGGGATGAAGTTTTCTCTCATCACTCAGGCTGGAGTGCAATAGCACGATCTCGGCTCACTGCAACCTCTGCCACCGGGTTCAAGCGATTTTCCTGCCTCAGCCCCCTGGTAGCTAGGATTACAGGCGTGCACCACCACGCCCTGCTAATTTTGTGTTTTTAGTAGAGATAGGGTTTCACCATGTTGGCCGGGCTGGTCTCGAACTCCTCAGGTAATCTGCCTGCCTTGGCCTCCCAAAGTGCTGGGATTACAGGCGTGAGCCACCACACCTGGCTGCACAAGTCATTCTCAGATGTTGAACTGCTTCCCTGTTTTGGTCTTCCACATAAATTCTAGATACTTAGACCTAAAGCCCTTCCTGAAAATCTCCTAGGAAGTAAAAATGGTTTACTTTTAAAAAAAAATTAATTAATTGCTTTTTTTTTTTTTTTTTTTTTTGAGATGGGGTATTGCTGTGCCGTCCAGGCTGGGGTGCCGTGGCTCTTCACTGAGGCAGCCATTCACAGGCACAGTTAGAGTGCACTATAGCCTTGAACTCATGGACTCAAGCAATCCTCCCTGCTTGGTCTCCAAAGCACTGAGACTGCAGGTATGCTGCCACACCCCAAATTTCCTCAGCTTAAAATGGGAACGTTTCCAGCTACCTCAGTGTTTTACGTCTAACTTTGAAGAGTTACAAGGTTCTGGCCCTGTTGCCATTTCTTACACAGTGTAACTGCATGGGAGATGGAGTTTGCAGGGGCTTTCAAAGCTGCTCACCCGGACCACCTCCTCTCATGGAGCAGCTCAGCAAAGCAAACCTTCGCCTACCGCACCTCACCCACTTCTGAGAGGCACATGGAGGCCGCACAGGCTCACCAGCTTTCTGTCCACCACATCAGCTGCTCACCTGGCCACTAAGAAAGACAGTGTTGCAAAAGGCCTGTGTGGTATGATGCTAAGCATGCCCATCTGTCTCGTTTCCACAGCTCACACGGAAGACTGTGGAAGGAAGAACAGGGAGGAGTGCCACGGGGCTGGGGAAACAGGAAGATGGACCCCAGCGTGCCTTCCAGGGCTGCGCCTTCCCTCCGGGCCAGGCCCAGGACTCTCCGTGCAGAGAGGAACCCCGAGAAGAATTCCACGTCTGGAGCTGGAGGAGAAGATGCAGTGTGCAGTGTGTGGGGAAGAGGGGCGGGGCGTCCCCGCTGCACGGAGCCCACGGGGAGGAAGTCTCACATCCCTTCTCCTAATACGTGTGCTCTGGACACAGCACTGTGCAGCGTCCTGGCCGCCTGCCCACCCACCTTCCAGCAGGAGGGGGCTTCACAAAAGGGCAGCTGTAATCGCACAGCACAGGAGCCTCGGAGAAAAGGTCACCAAAGATGGCATCAATGCATCTTTGCAGCATTACCCGAGCAGCATTCTCTGTGGCTCCTTCCCTTAATTATTTTTTAAAGAGAGTTTTGACATTTGGGATTGATCTACTCCTGCCTGAAAACACAGCCTCTGTGCACGTGCCTGGCAGTGTGGCAGTGCAGCTTTCTGACAGGTGCCAGGCCTGAGCTCGGTGGTTTCTGGCAGTGTGGCTTTCTGACAGGTGCCCAGCACACGTGTCCAGTGGTTGAGAAAAAATTCCCCAAGGAGCGAACGTCCCCGAGGCCGCTGCCACGGGAGCGTGCATGCAGGGCCAGCTCTAAACCCCAGGTGCAGAAAGGCTCCAGGGTCAAGACCCAGCATTTCAAAAGATCTACGATGTGACACTCTCAGTGTACACCACAGCATTCAGTCCCACATTAAGCCCACGCCTGTAATTCTAGCACTTTGGGAGGCCAACATGGGTGGATCACCTGAGGTCAGGAGTTTGAGACCAGCCTGGACAACATGGCGAAACCTCATCTCTACTAAAAATACTAAAATCAGGCAGGAGTGGTGGCGTGCACCTGTAAGCCCAGCTACCCGGGAGGCTGAGGCAGGGAGAACGGCTTGAACCCGGGAGGCAGGAGTTGCAGTGAGCCGAGATTGTGCCATTGCACTCCTGCCTGAGTGACAGAGCGAGACTCTGTCTCAAAATAAATAAATAAAATAGAATCTGCTGTTGCTTCCCATTTGACAGAGTGTGACACCAAAGCGTGGCATGCAAACTCAACACACACCCGATCGATTATTCAGGTGGTTTAGGCAGCATTCAGTGTCACGCAGCACAGAGAGGCCTACGTTTTGAGGGACTGCGCTGGCCTCGCTGGCCCTGTGACCCTACCCAAAGTTCCTTGTTACTAAATGCAGAAGGAGCAGAACAAGGGAGAGGACGGAGCAGGAAGCAGGGAGGAATTTGCTCAATGAACCCAGCCCTGGGGATGGAAGGAGGGTCTGGGATCTGCCCTGGACTTCCGCTCACACACAGGACACAGGAGAGGGGCTGTGGGGAACTGTGAAGGATGTGGCCGGCTGCTCAGCCCCAAGGTGTGCCCTCACACAGACGGGCTCACTTTAGGACGAGTCGCAGATGTCAACATGAATCCCCGTAGAAACAAATGACAGCCACTGGAACAGCAGCAGTCGCGGTCACAGACTCAGGGCCTGCAGGTCAGCCGCCTCCACGGGCCCCGGGACTACGGCCAGCCAGGCGGGAAGGCGTGTGGCCGCCTCCACAGGCCCCAGGACTACGGCCAGCCAGGCGGGAAGGCGTGTGGCCGCCTCCACGGGCCCCGGGACTACGGCCAGTCAGGCGGGAAGGCGTGCTGGGAAGAGGCCTCTAAGGGCAGCTGTGGGCCTGCGGGGTAGCGGGGGGGGGTCACAGCTGGGAGGCCTGGCATCTGTGGGGCTGGCGTGGGGGGCGTATTTGCTGGTCTCTGGCTGGCCCCAATTTGGAACTGTGGGCAGAAACTAGGTCTTCGTGAACAGAGTCCCGCCCGGCCTGCACCAGGGCTATGGAGGAGGTGTGGGCTGGGCTCCGGGCTGGGGCTCCCTGGTCACACGTGGCTCAGCCAACATCCCTCTTCACTAGGGAGACACTTCTCCAGATGCACTTGCTCACAAGCACAGGGGGCATTATGAAATCAGTCAAACATGCAGAAAACTGGAGTGAGGAAATAAATCACCCGGATTTCACAAAAGTTAACATTTTTTCTATATTTGCACCAACCAATCTTTTCTTAGAGAAATAAATTTAAAATGCAGATTTTTATATAAGTCATTTGAAAGTATTCACCTCCTCCCTCTTTTTAAAAATTCTGGCAACGGGTGAGGAAGAGCAGAGCAAAGTGCAGCTACTTTATACCCTTCAGAGGAGGACGTCCTGGCGGCCCCAAGCTGCTCAGCTAAAGCACCCTGAAACTGCCGGGAGGGGCCCTCCTGAGCACAGGCCTAGTGCCCC